CCCGGTTCCCCCTTTGGGGGGGCCGGGGTATCCCCCGAAAAGCCTTTTTCCTTCCAAAATTTTTGAGTTGGTTTGGATTTGGCCGGTTTTTGGGGGGGTCCTTTCCCCGGGCCCCCCTTTCCCCCGCCCTTTTGGGGGGGGTGGGTGTGGGGGGCCTTTTTTTGTTTTTGGGTTTTTTTTCCCGGTTGGGGAAGGGCGGTTTTTTTTGGGGAAAGGGGGACGGTTTGGGCCCCCCCCCCTTTGAGGCAGGGAAAAAGGGGGGGGGGGGAAAGGGGGCCGGGGGGGGTGGGGGGGGGGAGAGGGGGAGAGAAAGAGAGAACATGAAAAGAGAAAATGAATAAGGAGTCGTTGACTAGACAAACTGATTGGTAGACGCCGTGCCATCTGATGAAATGAAATATGATCGAGCTACGGCAACGTTGCGCGATTTGCACCAATCGTGTTGGGCATGTACGTGTGTTGTGTCGCCGTACAAAGAAGTACAAAGTCGCCCTCCAACTCTTGCACAATACAATACAACCCAGGTAGTGGCAACCTTGACCATTGCTTATCTCCGCAGGCGTAGTCTAGACCATGCCACGTCAAGACCATGCCACGTCAAGCTTTGAAACAACGGTGGCCATACAACCAAAGATCTTCACAAACTGCTAATAGCAAACACAGTCACGGAGTTTCATGACACGCGCAATTCTGCTGCTTACCTTGCTTCTTTCTTTGATAGCGTTGGATCGTTGTTCTGCCCTCTTGCTCTCGGCCTCTTTGATTGACACCGCCTCCTCCTCGCTCTCCGGCTGTCAGTATTTTCCATGATCGCGAAGCCATTTCGTCCACACACCCACAGTGTCATTTAGGAGCGGCAGCATCGAAACAGATGGTCGTGATCACTATCATCACAATCGTGTTGGTCCATCGTACTCCATGTCGTCCCCATCTTATAGGGGCATGGTTTGCCGCATCGTGCTTTTCGTGTCTCCAATATGTTTCTCGTGTCAGACCATAGGGTAGCATCATCACACCGTGCTTCGTGCCAGAACCAGTATTGCACCATCTACCATACCGCCGCGTCATTAGGCAATCTTGGCACTTTCCAGGCGATCTTCATTGCACCAAACGTGTCACGTATCCTCCTGGAACGAAAAGCTACGCAAGGTCTCCATCCCCCCCCCCCCTTCAAAACACACCAAATCATCAGAATCTTCGTAATCTTCCCAACAATCCGGTTGCAAATCAAGACGGCTTCGAAAGAAAACTCATACAGCAGCCCGGCATTGTCATCACCTTCCATAGGTGCAAGGCCCGATTGCCCTCGTCCCCCCTGCTCTCGTGGCCTAGCCCCTCCCCTGCAGCGAGGCTGTGGGCGGCGTTTCGTTCTCCGGCCGAAAGTCCGCTCGGGAATACAAGCTCTTTCTCCTCGCTCTGAGCGAACTCCCTTACTTGAGCCGCAATCTGGAGCGCGTTCACCACAAAGGAACCAATCAGCATGGGGGCTTCAGAAGCATGGAACTTCGCCATCGCACGCACTCGAACACAAAGCGAAACACTATGTACAAAGGGATTAATCAGCGTGTGTGTGCTCGAGAATCATCACCTCGGGGAAGGAACTGTTTTCTTTTTTTCTTCTACATAGCGAGGATTGTCTTAACCTTGAGACGTTGCAGCAAGAGCGGCTGAAGCAGCCAAGCACCAGGTTTAGGCGTTAAGGCGACAACGGCACCGGCTACGGCAGTCAGACACTTGTTCGATTCCTTTCTTTTACCTTCGGGAACTTGACTTGTGCGGGCATTTCGAGGTTGTTGCCGTCCGTGATGGTGATCATGCCCTGCCCGCCTCCCTTGACGTCGCGCGTCACCACGCCGCTCACGCTGGTGGCCAAACGGACTTCCACCTTAAGCGTACCCTGGAGCGCCACAATTGCCGGCAACAAAGAGGGGCACATGTTGAAAGAGCTGCGTAAGAAGGAGGCACCACTCCTCGCTACTGTTGTTCATGACAGGCCACACCAAACACACTGTGTCTTACGGATATCTGAAGCTGTCCATGTCGAGAGCGGCAACGGCTGCCCGAGGGACAATAACGCCGCTCTGTTGAGTCATGCATGGGACAATGGATGAAGTCAACCTGGGGTCGACGCGTGCCAAGCAAGGATCGAACTCACACCAAATGCAGGCCGTGCAAACTACGTTAAACCGCAACGAAACTCTCAGAGGACATGAGCGCTCAGGCACCAATTTCAACCAAAGGTAAACTACTTCACACATCATCTCCCTCTCCCTTGACAATTCGGGAAAATTATAGCCCTCTTATCCTGAACATGGACCCCACCCCCCCTCCCCCCCCCCATGGAACTCACGCACGAGTGTGGGAGCTCTAGATTCAAGAAACAACCTCGTCGGGGACACGAGCCAACTTTGAGGCACCCATCCGCTGGTTAAGTCAGCAATGCTTGAGAACACCCTTTCGTCGACCGAGCCGTGCTTCAACACTCAGTCAAGAAAGACACATCTTCTGCTGAGGGGCTGGCTGGCTGGCTGGCTGGCTGGCTGCTTCTCTCTCTCGCTTACCTTGGGGCAAACCTCCACTCGCGTAGCCCGCTTCTTATCCCCTCCCCTCTCCGACTCGTGCTGCGTGAAAATCACCTCCGACCCCTCCCTCAACTCCGGCAAGTTCCTGAGATGACGAGCGAGACGAGACAAGCGTCCGATGAAAAAGACGGAGTTTGGCGGACGCGTGAATCAGTGGCGGGGGGGGGGCTGTTGGGTGCGTGTGTACCGTGGTGGTCATGGTGAATAGATGCTGCAGGACACACGCTGCTGTCGCTCCGCAAACATGTCTCGCCGTGGCCAAAAATCTCCCAAGTACATAGAACGTGTGAAACTATTTGTCTGTGTGAATCGACAACCACGGGCACGACGTTTGCTTACACCATTGCCATGGTGCTGTACAGATAACGCCCGCACATAAAAAATAATCTCTTTAGTTTTGGCCTGGGTTCTTAGTTCCTAGGATTAGCCTTACAAATGACGGCTACATAGGTTTTAGCGCTGGGGTTCTTAACAAGGCTCACAAATGGTGCTCAAGTTCTTCTGTCTTGATGAAATGTTGAGCATGAAGTTCTTGATTGCCGACTTCCTAAATACGGGCGCTCACTGCTGTATCTACGGTAGAAAAACTCACTTGCAAGTATCGCTAATCCTGAAGTAGACATCTTCGGTACCACCAAGGGGTCGAATGAACCCGAAACCGCCGTCCCGAAGGTTCTTCACCACGCCCTCCACACGCTCACCACCAAAACTCACGAGCTTCACGTTCTTCACCTGGGTCTGGGGGAAAAAAAAGCCAACAAGGGGGAGATTTTCCGTGAGACTCACGTCGGATATATGCTCCATGCTCGACCAGAGCTCACGAACTTCATGCCACCGGTTTCCCGCCACCCTTCAACGTAAAATTTTATCTCCTCGCCCCCCGCTAGACCATCTCAATCTCGTTGTGCACACTTCACAATTCCACCCACCGCCACAAGCGCATGGTAGTTATTCCCCTCTTTCTGATCATCAAGACAAAAACGAGGTCAAGCGGCCCATGCTAAAGAAGACGGCCAACGCAAGCAACTAACGGCCATGTCCCGTGCCATTAGTCCGGGATTCTTCCCCATCTCACCGAGCCCCCCCCAAGCTTGGACTTCCATAGGTCGGCTTCGATGATGTCGCCCATCTCCAGAGTGGGTACCTGGCTCTTCCCAAGCTCTTTGTGGGTTAGGGACGCCACCAAAGAAATCGCCTTCGCAGTAGCCGCGCCTGTTTCCACGCAAAAAAAAAAGGAAAAGAAACGAAAAACAAATGTCAGAAAATGAACAGCAGGCTGCTTGCTCCATGTGACAATAGAGGCCCTGGTGGCTGGCGGGCTTCGTACTTCCAAGACAAAACAAATGACTGCTGGAACAACTGTTGCGGTAAGGCAGGCGCAACTTCTGTGCAATGTCAGGGTAAACGAGGGAGCGCTAGTTCTCATCCAAACACTGCAGTAATTCCTCCGAGAAACAAACAAACGTTAGGTCGCAAACGGGCAACACAAGTCCCTAGGTGTTTGGCGGCACCTGCTAGCAGTGCTCAGTGCAGTATGTGGTCCGCCAACACGCGTGAGATAACAGGGTTCTCAAGTCATTCCTGTGCAATGCACTCCACGAGTCCTACAGCCACCACCAGCACCAGCACCAACACCAATGCCGCTGCCGAGTCAGTTGTCCCTTTCGACGTGGTAAGCCCTACCCGACACAAAAGACGGCAATTCCACTCCTACCATATCGCCGCCCTACCCCTGCAACAACCCCCGCGACAACGGCCGAACATGGAATCGATACACAACAGCCCCCCGCCTCCCGCGGGATAGATATAGACATCACGCCCCGGTACAACGTTTTGGCAACCTCGTCTACCCCCATTGCCGGGCGTTTGTTTCCTCTCTTCCCAACCACAAGGTGACAAAACACTCACCGGGCCCCTCGCCCCCTTCCGGCGACGCCTCCTCTCCCTCCTCTGCAGTATCAAGGGCGGGGATGGCGAATCGAGCGGACCCCGGCTGCATACCACCACCCCCTCCTCCGCCTGAAGACCAACCACCGACGAACGCCGCCGTAAAAAGCGATAAGTACGTCGCAGCATACACGGTTTTTTACAAAAAGGACAAACGCGCGTTTGTAAAGGCACGCAGAAAGTTAGTTAAATGCGGCTCGTTTTTCAACGCGTGTTGGAGAGAAACTGACCGCGCCTGCTGACGCGAGGTTTAGTACGAAAATCCGAAAAAATGGCTATTACACAGCAATCGCTGACAGACGACCGTGAGCGACGGCTCACGACCCGGACTCAGCAGTGGTTCGTTTGTCTCTAGACGGCACACACCTTTCGGACCTACCACAAGCCAAATCAACACCCATCACACCCAAGAGGGGCGAAGGACAAGCTGGACAAGTGATGGCACTGAACAAACAGCGCACACACAAAGTTTTCTGTAACCGCAAAAAGCTGAGCAGTAGTCGCACGATCAAACGGAGCAGGCCAGCAACAGCTTCAAGCACATGCGTACCCGGTAACGCACAGCAATGACTATTCCTTTCCTGCGGCAGCGTCGGTTGTCTTCCGACCGTCGAGTACACACCCCACCAGGCCAAGGTTAAACAGGCACGTCACGGCGAACACGACAGAATGACTGCCAGACAAAACAAGCATGCATGCCTCTAGCGCGGACAGATTCGAAGCGCAGCAAGCAAGAGCCAAGCCAAGAACGAAAGCAGTCAAAACCGGAAAAACTCCCCCCTGAAAAAAGCACGGAAATTCCCTGGAAATTCCAACTCTCCGAAGCTCCACAAACGGCAAAGTGACGGTAAGACCCGGCAACTCCCAGGAAATTCCGACCCCCTAAACTCCACAACGCGGCAAAGTTACCTTCTCTGCCTCCGCCGAAGCTCTGCCTGTGCGGAAAGGTGGGTGCTCTCTCCACGGTGCCCCTGAGGCTCTTGTGCGTCTCCTCCTCCAGCGTAAGGGTTCCCGGAGGGAGGATCTTGATCTCCAGCGCTCGGAAGCTCTCCCGGCGGTCTTTCGTGCGGTCCGGCACTACCCAAAACTCGGCCTGTGTCGCGTCGGCATGGTGCCGTGCAACATGTAACCGATGCACAGCAGTCGGTGCAAGTAAGAAACTGAGCTACATGAATAAACGCGTATTGTTGTTCCGGGAATACCTTACATGTGAGCAGCACAGCAGTCGGTGCAACAAGAAATGGGGCTACAGGTGAATAACCAAACAAATTAACGCGTTTCTTGGGCGTTGTGTATTTTCGTGTTCGATTTGAATAGGCCTTCTTGCCTTCTAGCAAAAAAAAACGCTCCCTGGGCAAGGAGGGTGGGAAAGGGAGAGACACAGTTTCCGACGTCCACGTACGACAACACCGTCAACACCACCAAAAAAAGACGCAAGCCACGAACGGCAGAACACACGGTGCGGCGTTGGCTTTACCTGCGATCCCACCCTCAGGCGTTCTCCCTCCCTGCTCTGTACGAGGTGAGCCGTGTTAAAGTAGACAGTCTCGGGGCAAGAAAGCGACCGCAAGAACCCGTAGTCGTGGGTCAACTTCTTCACGACACCCTGCTGCTTCGTCGCCCCGCTGTCGATTAGCTAGAGACGAAAGCAACGCCGAGAACACCAACGGTCAAGATGAGGAGGGAAAGGGCGGTAATATACTACCACCGTAGGGGACATGTAGTGTGAGGCCAGAGGGCGGAGGACACGTATCTTCGGAAGGTGCTTCCACAACCAGTCGTGGGCCGCCGATAACAGGATGAACTCTTGTTGATCTACGGCGGTCCAATGGATGAGAGGGCTGACACGTTGTAACACGAATTTGACCCTTACAACACCAAAACAGCGCAACCCGCAACATAGGGGTTCACTACCTAAACAAAAACAGCATGCAATGCGACAAGACGAAGAGAAGCAGGCGACTGACCTTCTGCAGCTGCTCTCCTTCCCGCTTCTCCCTGTTTGTTCGTACCAGCACCACCTCCACAGCCCGCTTCCTGCCGGTGACCTTCTCTTGGCTCACCTGCCACACAGCAGTAAAACACCAAGCAGCACACATGTGTGTCCCACACGTTCACAAGAGGCGTCTTGACAGCACAGTTATCGACGCGGACGCTACGATCAAAGAACACGCACACAATTTTCAGACTCGATCGCCGATGTTTGAAGGCCTGTCAACATGTTTTACAAGCCCCATGTGGTGTATTTTCGTCTTTCAAGCCCGTGCCCCCCCCTCACATGACGCGGGCTCAGCTGTGCAGAAGAGCACGATTTGAGCCCATTCCAGCCATCTTCTAGTGACGCCTACAAGCATCACGTGTCATGAACAGCAATTGTCCCTGTTCTTGCACACACTTTTCCGATAAACAATAATGGCCATCGCACACATGTGGGGAAACAGTCAACGTATAAAACGATACGCATACCGTACGTCGTTCCATAAGAGAACAGCTACATCAGGCAGCGATGGCGGCGAAAGACCACGGGAAAATACGCCCCAGCGTAAAAGACGGCGTTGGTGCTTGACAAGTGTTGTCGGCGCCTTCTACAGCAATCAAGGGATGGCTACACAACGCGCATCGTCGATTTACCTTGAACCGGACCTCGTCTCCACGTCTAAACCTGGAGCCGGCGTCTTCTTCCAAACCGTCCGTGACGAGGTAGGTCACCATCGCGCCCTGGAGCCCAAGCGGGGCCGCCGTGTCGCCTGAATCAGCCACGGCGGCAACATTACGGCAACGATGTCGTCTTGCTATGTGGTGGAAAATTCCTGCCTCTCACGATGTCCACCAAGCATACGTCACAAGACAACTGAACTGTTCACAGCAGTATCGCGATGATGACATGAGCCCGTCATCCCTGCCGTCCTTGACGTCCGAGACAAGCTAATATAACCCCACCTTGGGGGTCAACGAAGGGAAGGTAAAAACATGGTAGGGAGACAGCATGTACCAACAGCTCCGTCCGTCATGCCACACGAGAACACCAAGAGCATACATGTATGCCTCAGGAACCAACATGCGGTCCCAACACAACAAGAAATTGCGATACCTTCTTCTCTGATAAAGTGTTGGACGCAGCAAGCCTTGGCCATTGCAGCCAAGACCCAATAATGCTACTTCACAACAGACAGCGTAGTGCCGCGAACCGATGATTACCTTTGTCATCGCCAGCCAGAGTCGGCTGTGTCGATCGCACGGCGACAGCCTCTTCCGTTTCCGGAGTAGCGGCAGGAGCAGAGGTGCCGGCGGCATCGTCGACACCTGGGAACAAACAATGACCGGCGTTACGAAATTGTCCAGCAGCAGCAGAGCAGCAGCAGCAGTCGCGATACTACAGTATCGACAAATCCATACTGTAACACTGTAAACTTCGAATTCCATGGTGTTATCACAGCATGGCATAGTCATCTCGACTGAGGTATTGCCATGACAACATCTGGACGTGCAGTGTGCGTGAAAAAAACTATTTCATGTTCACAAGTTTACCCCTCCCAATCCTGCCTCATAACCGCTTTCTCCATCACCCTCGATAGGAATAATACATCCACCGTAACGTCAGCGACTAGAGTCACAAACGTCAACGTCATCACAAAAACACACACACAAAAAGGAGGTCTACACGTACACCTTCCCCCTCCACCAGACACAAAAAACAATGGCGACGAATCTGACCACACTTCTCCCGTCTGACCCACCTGCGACGGCGGCTTCCGTTTCAGGGGATGCGTCGGTACCGTCCCCTCCCTCCGTTGCGTCGGTACCGTCCCCTCCCTCCGTTGCGTCGGCCGGCTGTACCTCCCCTTCCGGGGGCGCCGTGGTATCATCTGCGGCCGGCTCCTCGGGGGGGGCTGCGCCCGTGATCTACAAGGAGAGGGGGGCACCGTGAGGGAAGTGACAAGAAATTGCCGGTTGTATTATAGCATATCGTTACACACCGCTGTCGCGCTCCTACACCCTTGTTTCCCAGTCTTTAGTCCTCTTCACGCACGGAAGCCTCGCTCGGTGCAAATTTCGCCACGTGTGTTGGGAATAAACTGGGGCAACATGCGGGGACCGCATGCACCTTTCTCGTGGAACCGTTTCACTCGTCACACCTCCCAGCCTTAGAAAACATCGGACCAGCGATATGTAAAACCGTAGGCCAATGGTCGTTCCAGACCGGTCGGTCCTAGAGAGACTCAAAACACCTTACGCGAGGTTAATTTCTGTCATTTTGAGACTCGGCTCCTCCGATACATGGAGTCGGAGAGCACCTGATTTGAAGCAAGTTTTTGCCGAGGCAGACCACGGGAGCTGAGTGCCGCTGAGGGCTAAAATTCATTTTTTTTCCTGAGGTAATCTAACCCTCACCTTGATGAGCCCCTCAGATTGCTGGTACTCCTGCGGTCTGGATCTCCCCATCATATTTGCTCGGTGCGTGCTCGGCATGGATGAAGGGTAAGAGCGAATGTCTCTCTCGATCACTCCCAGAAACGAGGCTGGAAGTAGAAACATGCGAGGAAATACATAAAAAACAATGATAAGCAGACAGGGAATCAAGAAGAGGGCGCGGACGTCTTTCGTGTGTCGTTGCTGTGCCCGACGTCTACCGAGGATGCAATTTGAACGCTCCCCGGGAGGGGAGGATTTCAAACCACCCCCGCGTACAGGTACACCATCGTGACGCATCCGCTTAACACCATCTATTAGTGAACACGGAACGAAGACTGAGGGAAGAGCAATCAAACACTCACCGTCGTGTCACCCTACCTTAAGATAAAGTGGACTAGACTGCCTATTGAATATGACGGCAATAGAGTGATGGTGACCCGTCCATGGTGACGACAACTCCAAGCATATTGGAACTGTTCAAGCACTTGCATCTCGCGACAGCTGCACCTTGAGTGCTCCGTGTTTCTGAAACCTCCCACAATACTCCGAGTGCTCCGTGTTTCTGAAACATCCTCCCGACACTACTCGCTCAACCAACACGCAATTCCCGTCGTACTCCTGTAACGCCGAAGACATCCACTAACGAAAGCACAAGCCCGACCTCTCACCGTCAAGGATTATTTCTGATGACACGGTTCCCGGCGGAAGAAGGTTGAGCTTCAGGGCGCAGTCCTTCCCGCTCCTGCGAGAACAAAGGAAACGGTTGAACGGTTGGCACACCGAGAAAGGTAAAAAATGACGAAACACTGGTTGGTAGACAGAATAACGGTTGGAGCACACTCTGGGTACCAATATAGTGGCGTGGTGAAGGACAGTAGCGCGTGCGGTCTCGACGAGTCAAAGACCAGCGTAGTCGCAAAACCACCACCACCACCACCAAGATCCATCAGCACCTGCAAGACCTACCCAAGACGTATAGCAAGCTAGCGTCAACAGAAGAACGGTAGGAGCACAGCCTGGGTGTGGCGTGGCAAGGACCGCCAGTACTGGGCGGTAGCGTGTGCGATCTCGAAGAGACAAAGAGCAACGCACCAAGCCCTCTGTAAAGACCACCCTGAGTCGCAAAGACCACGACCGACAGCCATCGACACCTGCACCACTACTCATTCCTGCTAAGACGTTAAACAAGCTATTAAAGACAACAAATGCAGCATAAAAAGTTGCTTACCTGTTGCCCATCCCGATGAAGAAGTCGACCTCATCCCCGACGTTAATGTTGGGAGGGGCCTCGGTGAGGTGGAAGAACAGATCGCCGGGCCTGTCCATGCAGCGAACGAAGCCGAACGACTCCTTGATGGAGCACACTCGTCCCTGTTCTCTCTCACCGCTGGCTTCGGGCCTGCGAGCGAGTCGAATGGGCGGGCGTTTCAGGCGACGCATCAGTGAGCGGTGACGTTTGTGCGAACGTCGTAGTGCAAGCTTGGGGGAATCAGCAACCGCGCTCTCGAGCGGCTGATGAATTGATCCATCCTAGGGATTCATACCGCACGCGAGAACACGTTAGTCACCAAACCTTTCTTCTCTGTGCTTCTTCGAATCATCATGTCCGATTCTTGTGGAAAACTCTCACCTCTGGTTTTGTTGGCCGTGACGCTGCTGCGCGTTGTAGCCACCACCACCGCCGCCGCTCCTCCCACTTAGCGCCTGCGCGTGCTTCTGCCAGCGCTCACCGCCTCCGCCAACACCCCCGCCCCCCTCTCCCCCCTCCCTAGAATCCCCGGCGGCTCCGCCTGGGGTAGGCCAGTTTTGTTGTTGTGCCGACTGACCGGCGAAGGAGTTGTCGTTCTGGTAGTCCCTGTAACCGCCACCACCACCACGGGCGTTGTCCCTGCAACACGGTACGGTACGGTAGAAAAACCGTGGTGACGCGAGAAATCGAGGCATCGAGTACGGACGACGACGGGGAGGTGGGGATTGCTATTCCATCAACGGCATTTTTACCCGTGCCAACGATCCGTTTAAGAGGAGGGGGCGACGGAGTACACACAAGGGATGGAACGTGTTCGCCTCACATGGGGATGGGGGGGGGGGGGGGGGGTGTACTCATAGTCGTGCATGCCGTAGTCGTTAGACCATTGACCTCGCATCCCTACAAAGCCGGGACGGAGCACGCCGGGTTCTCACCGGACCAGGCTCTCACATCACCAAGCGCGAAGCGCCGTGAGGTATTCGGCGAGTCGCATGAAGGGTGCGCTGCATCCTGCTAAGGGTGTTCGGCATCTTGTGCTTACTTCCTTGCATACGAATGACAGCTGCGTATGACTTAATTTATTTTCTTGTGCTATCACTTCCAGACAGTTGTAAGCACTGTGTAACTGCCTCGAGGATGCTCGACCATATTAACACAAGGTGGTGCGATCATCCCCCTTTGCGCGGAGTGAGGGTTCTCGACCCCGCACAACATGATCTACTCGACCACCATTCATGGTTACCGCAAAAAAAAAACAGAGGTAAAAAAAAGCGGTAACCTGGTTGCCGAGTTCACGAAGTGAATTGGCTTGTTTTACAACGTCGGTGCCAAGCGACAAAACCCAATCCCGATGGCAAACACCGAGGGGGGGGGGGCATACTCTTATGTTTTTCATGCCTTAGCGGTTAAACCATTGACCACGTCCTCGAGAGGACGGAGCATTGTTCCCACAGGACCGATCACCGATGGCCAATCGTTCCTTCCTACTTTGCCAAAGGTGGCTCAAAAATGTCTTCCCTAGTCTGTCTATCCTAACGATATCCCTTCCCGCCTTTTCAAACCACTTCCTACTCCCCAGTACAGCTACCGTCTTTTCCTCTCTATTCCATGCCTCAACATCGAGGGGGGGGCTTGTTCTACAACGTCGTTGCCAAGCGACGCAAACCCAACCCCGATGGCAAACACCGGGGGGGGTTGCGGGAATGGGGCATGGGTGATTTGCTGCCGTAAGCGTAGAGGGCAAGCTTGGGTCGAAGCGGACAAAAAACGAAAACCTGTTGTTGTTTACCCAAGCTGGCTTAACACGTTTAACATGGGGTGGAACAAATTGAATACGTATTGCCGTAGTGCTGGACGAGTTCGAACCACGGACAAGAAACGCGGGATCAATCGAACGACAAATATCACACGCATTGCTGAACTATATGCGGCCCAATACAGACCCCGGTATGCAGTAGTAGTACTAATAGGACTCTTCTCGACCATATCACAGCATCAAGTGCGCATCTTCGAGTGCATCATCAGCGAGGGTATCTCACCGCCTCCCGCCGCCGCCGCCATAACGATCACCCCCTCCACCACCGTAGCTGCGCCCCCTCCCCCCCCCATCGCCTCTGTGGTCGCGCTGGTCGTGCTGGTAGCCGCCTCTTTCCCGATAGCCACCTCCACCTCCACCTCCACCTCCACCGTGGCTCCCCCGGCGTGGCTGTCGGGCGTTTCCGGAGTCCGGGGATCGGGGGCGAGAAACAAGCTACACTTAAGAGGTAGACGAGTTGGTGTGTGAATGCGTGCTTATGTGTGTCTCTGGTATTTAACTACAACAATTGGTTGACAACTGAGTAGGCGTCAGTCTTGGAAGGAAAGTCTAGATGAAAGGAAAAAACAAGGACGGCATCTAGACGGCGGAGCCCCCCTTCTTCTGTCGGGCGGCATGGTCTTTGTCTGTCATGAATTATGTCTGTGGTTTGTCTGTCTCTTCAAATGGATATTGACGGCGCTAACCGACTGGCCAACGAGGAGAAGTCAGTCTCAGCGGGAGACCGAAGAAACGCCTTCTGGTTCAGCCATGTACCTGGGCGGCGGCGGCGGGGGGGGGGTTCGACGGAGGGGTCGCAGCTTCCCGATCCAGAGCAAAGCACTTTGTGAGGAAGAAAGCTTGCATTGAGATCATATGAGCGGCGTGAAAGGTACATTATGGAAGGTCTTCTACCGTAAATAGAGTTGTGCTGGACTTGAACTCTCCTAGTACCCAGTTAGTTACAGGTCCATGGATCCAGAAAAAAACGCATCCGCTCATTTGGAGAGGCTGTACAGTCCCGAGGACCAAAGGCTGACTTGGCTTTAGTGTGGAAAGTGTCCCCAAATGCACTGGGGACACTTTCTTTACTGAAGCCAAGTCAGCAAATTCCAACACTAGGTTATGTACAGCAGTTTTACCAACAAGGGAGCCCGCGGCTTGGGAGGTTGTGTACAGCAAGTCGGATGCTCAGTAGAGGCACACAGGCATCACACAAGCAATACTCGAATATCACAGCGTACCACCTCACACAAGCATGCTAGACCACGGTTTCCCACCCACGTTTCACGCAGCAGAGCATAGTGATGGCCACGGTGCGGTAAACAGGCATTTGAGTGCTGTCCCCAGAGTGTCCCCATTTGGGCGTCCAATGCTACAGGAGGGTTACGATATGGTGTGACGTCTGCTTGCAAACCCGGTGTCGATATTCTCAGAAGCATGTGCAGAAGCATGTGCAGGGCACCTCAAAACTTCTAAGTGATACCATTGATTGTTGGGGCTGCACTGCGAGGAGAAAAGACGAGGCTATATTCAACGAACTCAACGTGCGGCAACAGATACTGCCTGAACCGAGGCAATTGCAAAGAACAGAGGCCATGTCTGACAACAGTACGGCCGTTCGATTATCGGCTGGAAGGCATCCCGGATGAGCGCAGCGACGTCGACAAGACCTTGGGATCTATCTACAAAATGTACAGCAGCACCACACAAAACCACAACACGTGCAGTAGGGGCTACACACCAATACTGCTGTGACTACTTGCCAATGAATTTACCTGTTGGGCAGTGTTGTCGTACATGTCGTTCTGCCATCGACCTCCACCTCCGCCGGCGTCGCTCTGCTGGTCGTGCTGGCTGTGAGCGACGAACGGGAAGGCGAGACGGGCGAGAACAACTTGAGTCAGTCACATCGCTTGAGGGAAACCGAGCAAAGTCTTGGAATCTAGCATACATCGAATACGGTCACCAACTTCGCAAGGAGGCCTTCAACCACATCGCAGGCCGCTGCGCGGCGGATGATGATTGTCCGTTGGGCCAGACAGGTCTTGGAAGAACATGCCGAGCACTCTATGTACGTGTTCGTCTGCCGTACAAGCTCCTCACCAAAAAGTACAATTTACAAGCCCAGTACAACCCTTGAGAGGCACCGAGTAAACATGCATCTGTCTCCAACCAGAGAGTGAAGACCACACGACGGAAATGTTTCAACTGGTGGACATTTTCATCAAGAGCTGTCGGACGATGACGTTCTGCAGCAACCTTGCGCCCTACAGACTCCAGTCGTCAAACGCACACGATCCGTGCGCCGGACTGGCAATATGCCAGTGCCATGCACATTTCTGGGGGGCTGCAGGCCGCTGCTCACCGATCATAGCGATTACCGCCAGCCCTTCCTCCTCCGCCATCACCAGGTCCATAATCCCCACCGCCTCCGTTGTTACGTCTATCCATGGCTGCTACAGGGATGTCGCTGCTGTTGTGCCGTGCTACTGCTGCTGTGCTGTGGATTGGCGATCCTGCGCTTGCCTTCACGTCTCCTCCCCTTGTCTCGGAGGGTAAAAGCCGCAATCACGACCCTGCTGCGTCTCTTTCTTTACCGATGCGAGGCGCAAAGACACCTACGGGCGTCTACGAAACTTGAGAGGACTTGGTCTAAGATGGGAATGAGGCCCTCTCCGTCGAGCAACCTGCCAGCTGCAACCTGCCAGAGACAGCCGCGCAGATGAGCAAAGGGGGGACGGCGAACCCAACGCGGCCGAATATCCCTGCAGCTACAAATTAGCCATTTGATTTTGCGGGGCCCCACCCTCAAAGTGCCACCCCCACGGCAGTCATTGCCACGCAGGCGCTGCACACCTTGAGCCTGCGTTTCGTGATCGCTGGCGATTAGAACCCGCACAGACATCTTGTCGATCAGGTGTGCGCGCCAAAGCAACTCACGTCGCGATCCCAATGTTAATTTTCGTTTTAGAGTGTGCGGGAAAGAAAATATGTGCTGCGGCAAGCACCGTCCTGCCTACTGCCGCTGTTGGTGCTTTGTTTTGTGTTGTCCGCTTCCTCTCCGCGGTGTCGGGCTACTTACCTGTGCCTACTACGCGGTAGACAGAGCGACGTCCGCCTCTGTAAAGTATTGCGAAGAAGCAATGAAATTGACGCAGAAGGCAGCAACCAGGACTATTGATATCTACCCCGAGTCTTGCAGAGTCTTTTATGGTATCTTTTCCAAGGGGCCCAGTTTCGCAGTAGACAAGGTACGCTGCACCGACAGCAATGTTTCTTTCAAAACACCTTCCTCCTCCCTTTCCACCCAGTCCTCCCGGCGCGCCGTCTGGTGCGTGTGCCACCTTGTTAACTCAGATGTGGGCTTGTTTTCGTACGCCTGTAAGTCGGGGTCTCGATTGGTTCAAATGGTTGTGATCTCTTTCAGCGTGAAAGGTGTGGGTGGAGCCGGTTATGACCAACACACAGATAGGACACGCTCATTTTGCCGCTGTTCAGCAAAACATTATTAATAGTCCTCACAGCGTGTCTGCTCCACATGTGATGGTCTGATGATCTCTTCACTTTTGCGCACGTCGTCTGCGGCTCCGCCGTGTATTCTTCGTGTGTTTGTATTTATTATACCTCCCCACAGTACGCAACAATCTGCACGCCACCGATCCTCTCCGCAACCCTGACGATGCCACGCGCGGGCGACCAAGAGGAGGAGGAGGAGTGGCGCTGCTTGGGAGATGCACGAGGTATATAGGTAAAGTGTGAAGCACGCGCTTCTGTGTCTTGTCGCAACTCTCATATGGAGTGCACCGAATGGTCTACGATTCAGCAGTAGATCACCCTTGTCTTCCGTGATAGCGGCTTCGACATGTCGGGTGCATGTGTAGTAGCGCAGATCGGCAGCGTATGCTGCATGGGGTGTAGCAATAACTAACTAAATACGTGTGACGCTTGGTCACTTTTCCCGCCCACGGCTGCCCTATGCATGACTAGCCTTGGCACTGCCGTGGAGAACTGCCGTTCAAGATATGTAGCATAGTGAAGAACGTTCTTTAGATCGTTCTACGGAGGGTTGCATGGGGCCGCGGGTTCTGGGACTGTTCCGAAAGTGTTTGTTTACCGAGTAAGTTCGAATGGAAGTGTTGTCTTCTGTGGAACGTTCTGAAGAACACGAATTAAGAGCAGAATGAAGATCAGTGCCAAGAACATCTCCAAGAACGGTCCTCCGTTTCCACGAACTATTGTATGCATGCACGACACAATACAGCAACCAAAGTCCCTCCGATAGCTCGAGGAACCCTGTTGTCGCCAACGGTTCTCAGGTTCCGCGAACGTTCCTTCGAACCGACCACGTTCACGACAAGTTACCGCACCCGCCACCATACACACGTCTAGTCGCCGACAACAACAACAACAATAATAATAATAATAAAGATAATAATAAATATAATAATAACTCGCAGAGGATGAGACCGTCGGAGCCTCGAGAAGGAGAAGAAATGAAACGCGAATCCGAACGCGGGGTCCTCAAGGTGGCGCTAGCGCCAACAGCAGCAGTGCCGCAAACGGTAGGAGTGGCCGCCCGGCGCGGTTCTCCGCAGCGCGCCTTCCGCGGAACGCGGCCCAATCAAGCTCGAGGTCCTCCGCCAAGAGCAGTCAGAACAGCAGTTCGGGAGCGGTGACGACGAAGAAAGGGAAAGGCCGGTGCCAGAGCGGAGGAGGCGCTACTGCTGGTGTCGTCGGCAGCTCCGCCGCCTCCAAGTCGTCGCGAAGCGAGAACGACGATGGAACACGGGGGGCGGGTGAGAGGTGCAAGAAAAGGAAGAGCCCGAGGAAAGTTCCGGGAATTTTCGGGATTCCCGTGGCCTGGAATGTAGAGGACTGCGACTACGATGACTCTGAGGATGAAAGCTACACACAGCAGTCTGAAGGCTCCGGACCACCGACCGATGGAGCAACTGCATCTGCCGCCAAGTACGGCCAGATATTTATTGGGTTTCGGAGAGAGCTGGGAGTTCGCCTGACTGCTACGAAGAGGATCGATGCCTTGCAGCAGTTTTTTCGTTCGCTTCTTTGGATGTTGTCAATACAACACGTCCTGTGGGCAGACCTGAAACACCTGCTCGCGCCTGTACATGGTAGTGCTACCGTAGACTTGAAAAAATTGGCCTCAAAATACCTCCCTGGCGTAGTTGCTACGGCTATGATGTGACGCGTCATATGGCCACCCTTCTGTTCTATCAGGTGTACAAAAACACGGGGTTCGACATCGGTTTCCTCGGCGACACGTTCAAGGGTAGGGAGAGGGGGGGGGCGGCGAGGGACGGGCTGGATGGCAGAACTGTCTACTGAGGTGGTGCTCCACGGAATCATTCGGTGAGCCAGGTTCTATGCTACTGCTATACCTGATAAAACCAACACGAAACGCCCTCGGGGGGTGACAGGCGCTTGAAAACCTTTAGAAGAGTTGGTAGAGGGGATTGAAGGGATGCATGGCCCTTCCGGTTTGTCCCCGTGTTACCCGAATCCACAACGCTGGAGGCCGCTCAAACAATACGTCGTCGGCTAGAGCATCATCCCGTGCAAGAGACTGCGACCAGATTATGCACGCTAACATCGAAACGGAACGTGAAATAGTAATACTACAGCACGTAGTAATCTTTCAAGAGTTGGAAGCTTTGCTCCGACTGCCCCTGAGATGCTTCGTCAGTGAACAGCCAAAGGACTAGGGAAAGCATCAATATAATAGTACCTTTCCCCCGCCCCCCTGCGTAATTGCAGGCCGTACCTGTGCTCCACTTCCAAGTGCGCGCTCCAGCGGACTTGCAATCAGATGCACCGCCTTTTGGACACGCCAGACGCTTGGGAGACCCTGGACTTGCGAGCGCATGTTATCGGCAGGCGCACCATGAAGTCCGGTCGTCAGTCCATTCTGAGCCGGCAGCCCCTCTTTTTTTTAGCACGCAGTGTCGTGCAGCAGGTACGATATGGTACTCTACTTGCGTGAGGGTACAGGCAATATGTAACATGCGGAGATGGGGCACGCACACTGTGCTTGGAAGCGTGGTTTCGCCGCATTTTTCGTTGTCCTTTTTACGCCATCAAAACGCCAACTTTTGTCGCTGACCGCAACGCTGTTCTTCGTCGCCCGATAATGCCACAGCATGCTGTGGCATGCGGCAGATAACAAGTCCCAACCCCATTGATTTCCTCCGATGCGAATTACCCGGTACCCGTCTTTCGACACCACCATCGTTCCGAAAAAAAGCAGCCGCGTTTCTCGCTTCTGAAGACGGTGGACATGCAAGGCCTCAATCTTGGAGCCATGGGATCAACGCCCGACCTGCTGGTGACGTTGTTCGAGAGCTGTCGCCACATCACCACCCTTAACCTCTGGAAGACCTACGTCGAGGTTGGTTTTGAATGCAGCATTAGGACTTGTTTGCGAATTGGGTGGGATTGATAGGCGTGGTTCATGACTGGTGTGCGACGGCGATTTGTACGATTGTGTGTTGAGGTTGCCACTGATTAGGACCCTTCCCGTGCCCGAACCAAGATTGCCACTCTAGTCTGACAGTTTCGAGGAGCCCTCTCCGAGGTATGCTATCCTAAAGTAAACGGGATCGGGCGCATACAGAAAATAGTGGGGCCTGCAGGTTGATTTTTTTGTCAGGAACCTCGTTTGATTAGCTCGTGCCCATCAAGCTCTTTGTTTCATTGTTTATCATGCCGACTTTCTCAACATGGGTCCACTGATGTGATACGGCTTTTTGTCGATGTTCGATCTTCTGTTTTCAGGACGAGAGATTGCCGCAGCCGCAGTTCTCGGTGGAGACCGTTATCGCGCAGCACCTCCCAGGTACAGCAGTTTGTTCTACGTCCATACATTGCTCAGCAGTTTGGCCACCCTACGCGACACAGTTGGGGCACGGCACCCTGTGTCCGCAACACCCGCTCCTCGTATTAATAGCCGGCGCTCGTCCTAGATGTACCCGCTGCTTGTTAAGAGCGGCAAATCAACACGCTCAAGGGAATGGGTTGATCCTCTTGATCGTTCTTCTGCCATGGGTGCTCTCTCTCATCATCTCTCGCCATATTTCTGCTTTGTTTATGGGGGCGTATGTTGGCATAAACTGTTCTATCCAGTCTCTATTGTTAGAAGGTGATTGGTTGAAACCCGCTGTTGTTCGTTGGGTTCTATTTTGGTCTCCTCTCGCGTACTGTAGGAGTGCACCACTTGGCGCTGGAGGTGGATGCTTCCAACCGGGGGCTGAGGGTGCTTCTCGAAGGCTGCACCAGACTGAAAAGCCTACACATTGGCAGCAGGTATTTGTTTTGTGTTCGTGTGTTTCGTGTCGCACTAGTTCTCCCCTCAACGAATGCTTCCCTTCCCTGCTTTTGCATCTCGCTTGCTGGTAGGTGAAGGGTAGATACTAGCTGGTTGCTTCGCTGAAATACATCATATGTTGTTTTTTCGTCTGGTGATGCAGGAGCAACCAGGCGGGAGACAGTATCAGCATGTACCCAAACGATCTCGGCATGAAGGCTTTTACCGCGGTGGGGGCCCCGTATTTGGAGACCCTTACTCTTGTGGACAAGGTATGAGAGTGTTACGGTTTGTTTTTTCAGTTTGTTCATTTTTCGTTACGACCCATCTATTTTTGGTCGAGTCGATTACGACAAGGTTCAGCAACACACTGCATCACAGCAGTATTCGAAATGCCGTGTTTCGTCAACGTGAGCGATGTCATGCCGAAAGCACGCACTTATTCGTTTGAAGACGAAGGCAAACATTACTCGGACCACGACGACAAAGTGCCTGCCGACCGACTTACGCTTCGACCACCATGAAAATCGGCTGCTACAATCGATCGATCAGGTCAACATCGGCGCTGCTGGGCTGCGTTGTTTGCTCAACCCGTCTGCGTGCCCCCGGCTGCGCACGCTTACCCTCGTGAGAACTGGCCGCGTCAACGACCACTGCCTCAAGGTTTGTCGAATGCGCCGGCAGAGGGTAGCAGCAGTAGTTCGGGGCATGGTAGAGTTTTTGCTGGCAAGTCTCTCGCCGCTTCGTGCTGGCTGCTTGATTCATCCTCTCCTTCACGCGTGTTCGTGATTGTTTATGTTGCCTTTGTCGTTCGTCGTGTAACTTGTTCGTTAGACTGTTTGTAAATGATAGCCTACATGGTTTCTTCGGAATGAAACGACACGCGTCCCTCGAAACCGCTTCATACCACGTGTCTTCTCGCTGTGGTGTGGACGGCATGCGGGAACGAAAGGTGAAGACTGCCATCGCCAATCCTAAGAGAGCATCCAAGATTCCAACCCCCGTGTCTAATGCAGATTTTCCCGACTTGCTCTTGTCTCCCCGCTACCCACAGGCCATCGCGCCGGCTATGGGTCGACTGACGTCTCTCACCCTCGATCAGTGCCCGGTAAAGCCTTCCACGGTGCAGTTCATCCTCGACAAATGCCCCGAGCTCACGAGCATGGTGGTCTCCACCCAGCACGGACTTCTCCAGCAGCCACAGGTAGGTCCCATGCTAGTTTAGCTATGTCTACATAGCGACGGGCAGATGGCTTCGTGGTTGCGTTTTCGGCCGACGGGATTCAATTCAACCTACACCGCTCAGTGCCATAGGAATAAGGGACGTGCGGCGCCGTTAATTAACCATGATCCGATTTCGGACGAGCAGCCACTACTGCTGTTGTTGAACGTTGCGTTGAAAATCGCCAACAGGTGCTCATTGACACACACACACACACCTCTCTCTGCCATTCACTTCCGAATCTACACGGGTGGTGCAATGATTTTCAGGACGGCCGAGCCCTACTGGAATATCTCCTGGCTCAGGGTCCGTCAAGGCTATCAAAGATTGAGGTGCAACGGCTATCAGCGAGAGGATCGGTCTTGGGAAATGTCCCTTATTGGCTGGTGCAAGACCCGGGGCTCTGCGCGACTGTCTTGGAATGGATTAGTCCCCGCATAGTGATTGGTCCGGCCGAGACAGCGGATGAACGCATTGCGCCCTTCATGGCAGGCCGGGATCCATGACGAGCCGAGCACCTGCTTGCTGTGGAGAGATGGACGGTGTACAGCCTCGTCCCTGTATATTATACTACAGCGCCAAGGTGCATACGGCCCCTGCGGTTAAAGATAAGCCCAAGACTCTACGTAATGGGCGGCGGCAAATCTGCTGTCCAGCTGTAGGGACACGAGGTTGGGGGTGAACCGCCGCCGGCGCTCTTGTAGTTGTTGTTCCACGGCCGGTCGTGGTTGGAGGGATGATGAGTGTTGCAATCACGCCTTTTGATGTAGTCTACTGATGGCGGGGCGGGAGTGATGTGTACAAATGTCATGTGGACGGTGATCGGGCGTAGAATGAAGGAAGCGCCTGCGGTGCTGTCCGCAGGCGGGTGCTGTGGTGTCTAATCCCTTCTGTCTGGCGGTCGCGCCGTATCGCGATGTATTCTACACTACACGTATGTATGTGTCGTGTCTCTGGGTGGGGGTAGGTGGTGTGATGAATCTATACCAAGTAGCATTTTCCTTGAGGAGGTGGCCGTGCGAATAATTTCCTCTTTTGTACTGATAACAAAGTACTGCTGTAGCATAGAAGAGGTTCTGTTGTAGACAGGTGCGTTCCTGTTGCATCCATGTGTATGCACATGCACATAACCTGAATAAGTCCGTCTGAACAAGTCCGTGGCAGGTGACGAAAAGGGGTGCACGGCTTCAAACCAACCCCCAGTCTAACCTGTAGTCTCAAGGTGCCCTGGTTTGTGTTTACACACTCCGCAGATCGAGTTCGAGTGTTCCATCACTCGTCTTGGGTTACAATATGCATACGTCCAACTCTTCTTTTCGCGCACGTAAAACACGGGGAGGGGGGGCTGCATGGATGGCCGAAGTTGGTCAGTCGCGTAGTAGGCAAGTCCAGATGCACGACGGTGTTGTCGCTCTCCACACTAATAACTGGTGTGAGGGTGGAGAACAGGGAAGGATTTGTAAATAAATGCAAATGATCAACTTGAAATGATCAAAGATCTCTTTCGTGTGTACAGCGAACGCACGGGGTATATCCGTTGGACGCATGGTGACATACTGCTGTACATACGTATACATACACAACCACGGATCGGCAGACCACGATTGATCAAGGAATCAAGACACAGAGCCCCGGCACATGCGAGACACGAGACGCTCTCTTGTATGTTCCTCCTCCGGCTGCTGTACCTCACCTATAGATACTTCGGGAAGTACAAAAATCTTAATCTTCATGACGCGCAGGTCACCGGTCACGGCAAGATATGGGACGGTGATGATGGGGACGACGTGCGTTTTGTTTGGTGTGCCAAGTTTTTAAGTTTTTGGTTTCGTGTCGTGGACGTTTTTTTTGCGTACCACATCACTCCCCCCCCCCCCCCCGCACTGATCTAAACTCACGCATCGTGACATCCAACTGCTGCCTGGCGACCCACTCCTGCTATACCTACGCCTCCCAAGTTCACCTGCTTCCCTCGTGGATACACTCCAGCAGAACAGACATACACACGACGATGTTGCGTGGAACCGACCTCCTCCTGCTAGGGTGCGTGGCGTGGTGCGCTTTGTGTAGAGCCGTCGGCGGAGAACACACACAGTTTGGAGATGACCCGAATCAGCAGCACGTCTCGCTCCAAGAGCTCACGGAGGAGGCATCCAAAGCGGGAATGGAAGTAATTCACCCGGAAGAATGGATGCACTCTCGCCGGCGGCTTGAGTACACAGGTAGGTGGTGGGTGTGAGGCGGCAGCAGTCCGGTAGGCTGTGAGCGAGAGAGGAGGTTCTGTGGTGGGCAGCTGCTGTCCGGAGAGGAACGGTTTGATTTGTTGTGACAACGAGTTTGAGAGGACATGGCGGCAAACTGCTGGTGATGTTGTTGACAAGCAGCTGAAGTATGTTTGTCTTGGCCAGCGAGCAAAGTGTGCTGGGTGTGGTGGTGGTCGCAATCAAGATTGGCGTTCACTACAACGGGACCGCGCCAAGGGTGGCCGTCTTTGCTCACGTTTTTTGGTCGGAGTGTCAGCCGCGCTACTACTGCTGTAGACAACAACAACAGCGGATAACTTGGATTGACCTTGTACGAACTCTCGTCTGGTGTGCATCTTTCCCGAATATCCTATGCATACGTGTAGAGTACTCCAGCAGCACGTGCACACGCACCGGACCGGCTGCCTCTAGCTTCTCCATAGCCACCATACTCTCTCTCTACCGTTGAGTTAACAATGGGGGCGAACAGGCTACCAGCCCGTGCAACGTGGGAGGTATCGCATCGTGCACGTGCTTCACCCTTCTCTTTTTTTTTGGCTCACACATGAAACACTCCACGTCGGAATAGTGGCGAAGGTGGCTCTCTCATGCAGACAAA